TATATATTATACTAAACTACGAAATGCATTTTAGATAGGTATATATAGGATTTTAGGTAGAGCCTCTACTGTAACCATAGCTTCAGGTTTCGGGTTGCCGCATTTTAGACTCAAGAATAATCCTTTATGCGTTGAGGAATGGTTGGCTGGGTGAGCCAACCAAGCTCCTTCAAGAAACGCAGAAGCCTCCTGGACATACTTAAATATTTTTAAATACATACGTACATAGAACGAACGTACCACACAATTATTTGTATTGGCTGGGAATCGAATCAGCACTATCTGGTCTAGCATTCAGAATTGCAAAACCACTAGACCCACAGGCTCAGTTACAATAAGTTTATATAATAAAGAAAACATGCTTTTATATGAATACACCTTTTGGCTTGGGCAACGGCAACGAGCTTGTGACTCCTGATTTGCAGACGTTCATGGGTAGCGGTATTCGCTTTCTATCAGTTGACCCGTCTGCTCGTTTGTCCCTTCCATAAAAAAAAGATTAATCGTTGAACCACCTTTAAATATACAAAAAAAGATACTTCATATTTTTTGTTTTCTATGTGGAAGTCGCCGCACATAGCTTAGATTATGCAAATATAAATTTTCGAACCTTACCGACATTTAATCGAAAAAACAAAGTATTTTTATGTCGAATGTTCTTTATAAATAAGTGGATATACGCTATAATAAAAAAAACTTTTATTTAACAATGCTTTTCAATATTTCATTACGCCGAAGGTGTGGTTTGCTTACACGATAACATTTCTACTAAACACAATTTTACAACAATAACTTGGAATATTTCAACCTGCGTTTTGCATTACTTCGAATAGAATGACTAAACTGAATAAAGTGTTAATCTTCTGGTAATTCCTGCAGTGAGTGTGGGTTCTGAATCATTCTTTATATTACGAACATACTAACTTCGAACTTCCTTATTATGTAAAAAATATAACTAAAAAAATATTTTATTACAAGTTTTGCATACTACTAACTTTGTTTTGCAGTTTCATACTCGTTTATAATAACAATTATTTATTTGATTTCGACCCATCCACTTGTCTCCTTCCTTTGTTCTGTACGATTTGTCATTTGCTTACTTAAAAATAACCACCAAATAGAAAGACGAAAAATAGTACATGTTCTTACAAACGGGTATAATAGAAAGTCACGGCATCTCAAGAATAAGTTTCCTTGAGAACTTTCAGTAATATTTGGCCTAAGATGAAACTTGAGTACTACAAGTGACAAAAAGCACGTGATTTGAGTCGTTAGAGCTGATAAAAACCACCTTCGCGTAGGTGGTTTTCCTAGACACAGTTTTTCGTTTGTATTTTTAAGTACATAAATAAAACTGTTTTATTCGAATCTTAGATGTATATCACAACTCACAGTCTTGGACTGTAAAAGATGATATCTGCGTACGGCGAGCGTATACAATTCATTGTAACCAAACTCGTAAATATAATTACATTGTGACAATATCGTGGTAAGTAATTATAGTTATATTGTTGTTGGCTATATAAATGACAATTTCCATGTTTATATTCACATTTTAATATCATAATGACGATATTAAAATGTGAACATAAACTGCCAAAAAAATGTTATCCACTGTGGGAATCGAAGTTGACGGGCCTTTTGGGCTAATGCTTAGTGACCCTGACTAAGCCAGAGGCCGTGGGTTCGATTCACACCCAGGACAAATAATTATATTATGATCACTATCATAATATAATTATCTATGTATTTGGACATTCATTATAATATTGTACCACATTCACACAACGCCATCTAGTCCCAAACTAAGCAGAGCTTGTACTATGGGTACTAGACAACTGATATAAATACATATATACTTTTTTTTTTTGTAAATACATACATATTATACATAGAAACACCCAGACGAAATCAAACATCAAATGTTCATGCACACAAATGTTTGACTTGAGCGGGAATCGAACCCGCGACTTTTGGAATAGCAGTCCGTTACACAAACCACTACGCCATCCAGTCGCCATTGATGAAGATCTTCCCTTATTGATGAGTGATCGATTTATCTGTAAAATAAAAATAAATTATTTATAGTGAGATAAGTTTTATGTACCTAAACAGTGGAAGAACCATGCTTCAGACGACCGGATGGCGTAGCGGTTTGTGTAACGGACTGCTATTCTAAAGGTCGCGGGTTCGATTCCCGCTCAAGTCAAACATTTGTGTGCATTTAATGTTTGATTTGGTCTGGGCGTTTCTATGTATAATAAGTATGTATTTACAAAAAAAAAGTATAAATTTATTTATATGAGTTGTTTAGTACCCATAGAACAAGCTCTGCTTAGTTTGGGACTAGATGGCGTTTTGTGAACGTGGTAGAATATTATTAATAGTATTATTTGGCCCAAATGGATTAATATTAAGGGCGGAGTGATACCAACGCCTCACAGAAAACCAATGTTAAGCAGTTCTTTGTGGCTTTCCAAGTGAAGTTACAACAGCCCAAAGCCTTCCTCTCTCTGATGTGAATCTTAAGTTCCAGGTGCTTGCCATCAGGTGATCCACCTGTTCGTTCGCCTACATACCATAAAAAAAGTTTTTTATTCAATTGTATCAGAAGCGCCTGGTTTAATACTGACCGTTTTATTTAGCTCTTCGACGTTTTAAGTTGTTCGAAAATTTTCATTTACATACACAGCAATGGATAACTAACTATGTTTTATTCTTCCGATCAGCTTTTTGAGGGCGTCCGGACCCTTTCTGACTGCCTTAAAGTACTTTAGAATTCAATGGTATTGGGGAGTCGATTTCGTATCGTAGGTTGTGAATCTGAGTTGATCAAGAATGAACTTTGTAACCATCAATTGATTTCTCAACTAACAGAGAATATTATACTATTGAAAGCCCGTTGGTTTTGAACTTAGTTAATGTCCAATGTTCCAAGAATCATAGCATGAAGATATAAGATTTAAAGTCCTTTGACAATGCGCCAAAGCGCTTCTTTTAATTTTGTACTTTATTCTAATGTTATAGCCGCGTTCGCGTGGTGTACCGTCGCCTACTATATATATATATATATATATATATAGTAGGCCAAAACCTCCTTTCAAAGGAGAGGCTTATGTCCAGCAGTGGACTGTTAAAGGCTGTTGATGAGATGTGATGTGATAGCCGTTATGTGACTTTGTTGCAATTGGTCTATCACTTAAGGAGAAAACTCGTCTGATTGATTAGGTTTACAATTAAAGTACTGACTACAATTGTTGTAGCATCTTTTGATATCTATTAGGTAGCTATTCATCAAGTGGGGGTTTCGTAAGAGCTGACTAAGAAAGCAAACTGCGCAGGAGAACAACAATGCAAAGAGAAGAAAAACTTGACATAAACCCTATACCGACCTCTCTGGCCAGCGTGGTATAGTGGGCCAAAACCTCCTTTCTAGGGAGAGGCCTATATGTCCAGCAGTGGTATTTAAGGCTGTTGATGATCATGTGATGAAGTGTGTACTTGAAGATTTTACTTTAAAATTTCAAGCTCTTTAAAGTTCAGTGTCCCTAGTCTTCTTTTCTGTGAGGAATTTGTGAATGTTATGGCTTCTGGGTAATGTTTTGTCTATTATGTTCTTAGGAGCTAGAAGCAAAAGGAAGTTTCTGCCTAAAAGAAAAAGGGGCTAAGTTTTGCTGTTGTTCCTGGGTCTTCTATTGGACTATGGGTATTCCTGATGTCTGACAGACTATATCGTTGGTTGACATGACTTCAACCAAACATTTTTGTGTTCTCCTCATTGAACAAAGATGGTTAAAAAAAGTTGGCGGCATGTCAGCAACAAGTTGCTGTGTTTGTTTTTTTGAGTTATTTTTTTTGTTCGTTGATTAATTATGAAAATTATTGTATTATGTGTGTACGAGTATGTGTTAATTTGTTTTAATATATATAAACATATATATATTATACTAGCTGACCCTGCAAACGTTGTTTTGCTATTTACATTATTTAAATATATATTTTTTGAATTTCTTAAAACCCGTTCTTAGCTGACCTCTACTCGGTGAAAAGAATATTCCTACCAAATTTCAAGCCTTTAGCTCTAATGGTTCCAGAGATATCGTGAAGAGTGACTATATACTTGGAAATCTCTTATATCTTTTCTTTTCTTTTTTTTTTTTTAAAAAAAGACAACTCCCGCATTAGGAATAAATCCTGTGTCGCGGGGGACTTTACAAACATACATGAAACGGACACAAAGAACACCCAGACTGAGAACAACAATTTGTGGATCACACAAAGTGTCGTCCCATGTGGGGTTTGAACCCACAATACTGAATATAGCCCGTATGCCATCTGGAACTATAACTTATCGATCTTATATAAGTACTCTCTAAAAGGCAAGTCCTTATGTACGAGTCTAGTTAGCAATCTAGTTTCTATAGTTAAGCTACAAATGAATTCTAAATCAATCAAAAAAATTGTTTTTGCATTTGTCAAGTTACGAATTTGCACTTTGAACCATTACTTTGTGAGTGAATATGACTAAAAAGAAAAAAATCCTTAACCTACTGTCAACAAGTAGACGCAGATTTAAATTACTTTTTAATAAAATAAAACGGCCTCAATCATTAAGAAATTTATTACAATAAGAAATAGATTAATAAATACATTTTTTGTCTTTTAAAGACTGCTCTATCACACTTCAAATCACACACTTCTTAAATAATGCACTTCTATGAATTTTATTCCAACTAGAAAACAGACACAAAAATTTAAGAGAAAATGTTTTTCAAATTATCGTTCTCCTTTCTAATATTAAATTACATCTTTTTTTAATTTCTATAGTAAAATTAATAATTCAAACTTGGAATTATTGTTTTGTCCCACTTGATCTACACCTTAACCCCTGTGACGTCACAAATTTCAATTTTGAATTTCGTCTGTATCAAATTATTCAATAACTGTTTGTTCCTGCTAGTTTAATAATCTATAATAGGCTTGGTTTCGACAGATGTTTTTTAATGCTTCGAAAACGGGTGATGTAACTGGAAAGAAATGCCGAGTGCTGCTGGATCAACTCCAGCAATAGCAGAAGCCACGGGACTTGCGATTGCTGCTCCGTGTGCTGCAATAGCTGTTGCCACAGGTTTCGATGACGCCACACCTGTTTCACCGATCAGAGCCAGACCTGAAACAGAATGTTTGACAGATAATATAATTCCAGAATGGTGTCCATTTTTAAGACTAAACAAAACTTGAAAACGGTTCAAGAAAATACTATATTCACTGTTATTTACTTAAACCTTTAGTGATTGATAATCATCATTAACAGCCTGTAATAGTCCACTGCTGAACATAGGCCTCTCCTTAGAAAGAAGGTTTTGGCCTAGTATACCACCCTGGCCAGACGGGTTGGTATAGGGTTTGTTTCAAGTTTTCCTTCTCTATATAGACAATACCTGGTAGTAAAATATTATCAAGATCGGTGCAGCGATTTCCAGGAACAAACAGACAGACAAAAAGACAGATAGACAGAATAAAAAAAAAACTGGTTTTTAGGCATCGTGCAAATAACCGTGTGAGCACGAAAAACACCTATTTTATTTTGACATTACAAACAAACACTTCAATTTTAATTATTTGTATAGATTTATTATCTACATAAATTATTATTTATTTACATGATTTAGGAGGCTCTTTTACATATAACAGTTGTGCCACTTATGATAGTACATCGTGCTTAGCTAGTTTGACTCCACCCACAAATGTTTAATTTTTAGTTTATATGTATGTTAATGTTTTTATTTATTTCAATTACATCTGATAAACAACTTTATTATTTTTCAATTTTTATTAGCTTAGTTTAGCTTAGCTGTCTTTGTCAATATTCAAATCTTTTCTTCTGCTTAAGATTATTTGCTGTAAGTAAAATAATGACTTACCAACAGGTTTAGCTTCTGCGATAGTTTCATGTTCTAGGAGGCCTATATCACTAGTGTCATCATTCGACTCGAGACCAACACCTTCTTCGCCAATCTATAAAAGATGTTATTTTAAATAGATTTTCGACCGTTTTGAATATTCTGTTTTATTTCAAAGACCAATATAACTTGAACTGTCATTTTATGGAGTTTTGTACCATGACAGATCAAAATAAATACTCGACCATTATATTTTAGTTTTGGGCACTTATTCTGCATTTATGTAAATCTAATCATCATTATCCTTTAATACTACACTGCTGGAATTAGGCCTCTCCTTAGAAAGGAGCTTTTGGCTAACTATACCATGCTGGCCAGACGGGTTGGTATAGAGTTCGTTTCACATTTTCCTTCTCTTTGAAGTGCTGTTTTTCTGCGTAGTTTGCTCAGGATGAATAGGGGTGGTGACATTCCGTATTCTTAATCTGTCACCACACGGGAAATCTAAAGTATACTAAATGTAATGAGTTTCCTTGCGTGGTATAGTCGGCCAAAACCTCCTTTCCAAGGAGAGGCTTATGTCCAACAGTGGACTGTTAAAGGCTGTTGATGAAAGATAAAACAAACCCATTATAAGAAGAAATAAGTCTATTCCTGGTGTATGATATCTGACACGTAACTAAATGTTTCCCCTTTTAGGTATTTGTTATTTTTGTAAAAATGAATTATTGCAAACTGTTGTTTACACTAATAATAATAATTTCCTAAAGAAAACTGTTAAATACTAGTTCTATGACTGGTGTTTAACTGCGTTTTTCTAGGAAATTGTGTTCTTGCAAGTTTTCATAACAAAACGCTTTTTTTCATATTGCAAAAGATTTTCGTAAGGCGCGAATTATAAAAAAAAAACTGAAATATGTCTATGATGTTATGATAGTAAAGAAAATTCTCTAAACGGGTTAACAATGACCTCGATTTGTATGTATATTATGTTTTCTCTCCAAACCACGGTTGCCTGTAAGAGATTGCCTCTGAGCCATAAGGCCGCCATTTGTACTAACCTAGTTTAAGACAATTATTTTATATTTATATCTGGTGTACAATAAAGGGAAATTTTATTTTATTATATTATTTAGTAAATCTAATCTAAAAACGCAATCTAAATTAACTAAAAACTATTATTTTTCATAAGTGATTTACTTACATAGTCATCATCTTCATTGTCTATCTTCCTCAAGGTTGTATCCTTTTTGAATATCTTATTAACATCACCTATTTCGTAAATAAGGTCTGTTATGTTTGTAGCAATTTCTCCTAAAGAGGCCAGTTGTGTTTCATATCTAGTCTTTTGACGATCACCTAAATAGCCGTTCTTTCTTCCAGTATTCGTAAGTCTCAGAAGACTTGATGACAGCGTTTTTAAATTTTGTAAATAGTTAGCCATAACTTTAGCAAGTGGGGCACCATTGCCGGCTTTGATAATGTTCTCGCTGTTTATATTCTCTTCGGAGACAATTTTCTCACTAGTGGTTCTTCCTGTGTTATCTTTTTTAATTTCTAGATATTTGCCTCTAGCGCCACCGTAGAAAGGTAGGTACTGAACTGATGCGCTATAAATTGTAGAGAGGGTAGTAGGGGTATAAGTGTAAGTAAACAATCAGAATTAAAAGAAGTTACTATCCTATTGTATATTTTAGTGTCAAAAACATTTATTAAGACTGAGAAACGAAGAATATTCTTAGTAAAAAGGATGTTGATGTGTTTCTTCGTTTGCTTCTTGCACAAAACATTTTAAAAACCCATTTTATTCACATGTAATGCTTTTTTCGCATACTAAATACTCAATAATTATTGTAATGATTATATTATTTTTAGCGAGGCAACTATTTATGTAACTCTGTTACATTTTTTTATGTAGATAAGACATGAGTAATCTAGTCATGGGTATCTCGAGAAAAGACATAGGAAGTTTTAAATAAAACAAAAATAATAAACATCATGTATTGGTTTATTTTCTGTCAGTATTATTAATATACATTATCCATCTAAACTTAGAAAAAAACAGTTCAAAAATCAGTTTCAAGTGAACGGTCGAAATTGATTTCAGCAGGGATAACTTTTTTATATTAATTAATATATATTCGAGGTTATTCATTAACAAATTCGTATAGGTAAAGATCTGATTGTGCATGGGCTATGCCACCCGGGCCTGCTATAGCTGTCGCTACTGGTGTATGAAGTATTGTTCCAATCTTATTCTTCCCAATTATTACCTGGGATACGGGATTCGCAATGGCCGTTCCTTTAATACTTTTAGCATAAGCTTCTGGTTTTATATACAACATAAACGTCGAATCATCCGTTCTCAGAGGAGCTTCTTGAAAATTCATTCCGTTGTATCTATATATGTCTGATTGTTTTCTGTATTCGTATCCATTCCGCTTTCCATCACGCTTCCAGATTGCTCCCCGGTAGAATCTAATAAGAAGGAAAGAGAAAGTTTAATAAGAAAGAAGTATAAAAATAGAGTAAGTAAGAAACCCTATCGGTTGTTAGGATGAAAATAAATAACAGGACCAGTAGCAACAAGTTTTCCTTCAGGTATAGCTCGTAATAATTGGGATACAGAACCATTGATCGTACTTTGTTGCTGCAGGCGATTTGCAATGGATGTTAGATCGACTTCTGGAGATATAGCTATCACTCGAGCAGCAGGTCCAGCTACAGCAATCCCTCCTGGTTGAGTATATGCTAGTCCGCCAGGTCCCACGATTGCAGTGCCTCCTCTGCCTGCAGTTGCTACGCCACCCGGACCGGCAATAGCGACACCACCTTTTCTAACCTTTAAACGGTTTATGAATAAACCGGGGCCAGGCTGTTTTTCTTTATGACCAAATAGGAAAGGAAAACGAAAATCTCCTTCATTGTCATCAGCAGTTTTAGTAATTTTTAATTGCTCTGGTTTAGTTGGCTTTGTGGTTGTAGGTTTAATAGAGAAGAATTTATTAGCCTTGTTAGTGTCTAGCACATGGTTTTCTAGACTTACAGTACGTTTTTTTATTGCCCTTTTTCCTCTAGATTTTCCTTTCTTTGAAGATTTGAGTAAACGGTTTGCAGTTTTTTCGATACCTTCATTTTCGTTTATGTAATAGACACTGTCTTCCGATTTTTGTTTTCTATTACAAACGTCAGCACTTTGACCGACTTCTATAAAATTTTGGAATCCACCACCGTTAAGGATACTCAGCAAAGGATCTCTAATTAAAATTGGGAATACTGGAGCAAACGGCCACGGAAATTGACCAAATGGGCCCTCTCTTGTTTGATATTGTGGTCCATATTCAAGAGAATTCCTATAACTATACATATTATTTGTGCTTGGCATAACCATTACTGGCATGTTAGTCATATATGCCATTGGTGGCATTATTTGATTTCCAGGCATCAGAGGAGAGATTTGTCTCGAATACCTGATATCACCTAAGTCTTCGTTAATGATAGCATTTGTTTCATGTTGTTTCATATCGGAGTAAGGTTGTAGTTTGCCCGAAGCTATTACTTGCTGTAGTTTTTCTAAAGTCTCTTTGTCAAGGGTATATCCACCACTAGTTTGTGGTGGCGCACTCCACTGGACATGTTGTTTTTTGTTGGGCTTCTTTAAAGCTTCGTTGATTGCCATTATCTTTTTTATTATATCTTTCATAGTATCATCCTTTTCAATATTAGTTTCATCGTATGTCAAAGATCTTTCTTCTTTTTCTTCTTGAGCGTCTGTCGAGTTTTCAACAGAAGTTGCTCTGAAATACATTTGATGTGTTTTTAAATAAGTTTTGAATTCTCAGTACTTAATAACATCAATACCTTGATCCACAAGCGTTATTTAATTAGCATTTATTATATTAAGCAGTGTAAAAAGCTTATAATATTTGAAGTGAACCATACCTGAACCACTGTCCAGCCCGTGTTGTTTTTTTAATTTCCACATTGTTTTTATTTTGTGAGGTTTTATCTACTTCTGTTAGTGGTGCTGTGTCTAATATGCATTATTCTACTTTCGTAAAAAAATCGTTAATAGCTTGAAGAAATGCCGCAGCGATTTCCAGTTGTTGTAAACGTTACGATAGATTTACAAAAAAAACTGATGTCATTGGTTTACTTGATTTAAATTCAGGGATGACACACTTTGGACAAAAAAAAGTGTTTAAGCATTAAGCATTTTTTCTTCTGTATAGTTAAAAAATACAATGTGATGAATTGCAAAATAAAAAGGGATGTAGCATTCAGCAGCAGCAAGTGATACACAATGCAGGCAATGAAATCAGTTTTTAATTCTAATACATTGAAGATTAGTTACGTTTAAACAGTTAAGAAAGAAAATTAAAATTACATAAATTACAATTGTATATTGGTTCTTAGTTTAAAACTTACTCATTATTTGAAGGAAATGTTGAGACTTGTATTAGAGAGCATCCGGTCAGCACCTGAAATGAGAATAAGAAAAAAACTTAAATATTACTTGATGGACAAGCTTTTAAGGTGGGAGAGCCAAGCACATACGAACCGGGCCAACCGGAGTAACACGCGGGCCACAAAAACCGGCGTTAAAAAAATCTTTCATTACTTTTCACTAATTGAGTGGGGTTACCGAAGTCCATCCTCCTCCCTGGGATGGAGGGGGAAGGGGGTTGATTCAAACGGTGGCAACGCACTTGTGACATTTGAGTGGCAGATGTCTATTGTCGAAGTTAGTCAATTACCATCAGGTGACCTGCCTGCTGGTTTGCTCCTATCATCATAATCATCAACAGCATAGTCAACTGCTGGACATAGGCCTCCATAGAGAAAGGATGTTTACCCCTATCCCGTAAAAAAAGAGTAACGAAGAAATTAGTTTAAAGTTGGGACAAATTACTATTTATGGCCTTTATAGAAAGTCTTTTTGCGTTATCTTATTATTTCTTTACGATAACTCATGGTTTTTTCTGTGTAATAATTAAATGCCTGAGATCGTCTGGTGGTCGAATTTCGAAAATATATACGTACTTGACGACCGAATGGCGTAGTGGTTTGTATAAGGGACTGCTTTTTCCAAGGTCGCGAGTTCGATTCCCGCACAAGTCAAACATTTGTGTGCATGAACATTTAATGTTCGATTTGGTTTGGGTGTTTCTATGTATAATATGTATATATTTACAAAAAAAAAATGTATTTATATCAGTTGTCTAGTACCCATAGTTTGGGAATAGATGGCGTTGTGTGAATGTGGTACAATATTATTATTATTATTACTTAGTTATTGAATCCATACCTTTACTATAATGTGAAAATGAGTTTGTTTGTTTGTTACGCTTTCATGTCTAAACCACTGAACCGACTTTAAAAATTCTTTCACCAACGGAAAGCTACATTATACCGATATGCCGATATACACGCAGGCGGCGCCGCGGGGAAAAGCTGGTGATAAATTTTGGATCCGTATAACTTAATGTAGCTGTTTATACAGTATTGTTAAATTAATAATGTATACTAGAAAAAGAAGCGTCCGTGTGGTCAAGAATACAGAGTGTCACCACCCCTATTCATCCCGTGGGTGTCTTAAGAGACGACTAAGGGAGAAAACTACGCAGAACAACAGCAATGCAGAGAGAAGGAAAACTTGACACAAACCCTATACCAACCCGTCTTGCCAGCGTTGTATAGTAGGCCAAAACCTCCTTTCTAAGGAGAGGCCTATGTCCAGCAGTGGACTATTAAAGGCTGTTTATGATGATGATGAATGTATACGATACCATAATGTATCTTTCAAATCTTCCTTATTAGATTTATATTGTTAAAATTTTCTCGGAAAAAAAATACTTCAACTGATCTCACAATATTTCTTACTATATGCGTGACACACATATATTGTTATGTTATAATAATATATAAATATATGATATTAAGTTATTGTTATTTTAAGAGCGAGTCACATATTGTTTGTATCCTTCCACGACCGCTGATCTCAAATTAGGTAGAGCCCCAGACCCCCGGTAAACGTACTTAATATATTTCTAAATACAAAACAAAATGTAGAAAAATTACACCCAGACATAGAATAAATAAAGTTATTAAATACACTATTATTTGCCGTAATTGGGAATCAAACCTACGAACTGTAGCTTAGCAGTCAGGATCACTAATCTCTAGATCTGTCAAGTTGTTCAAAAAAACTATCTTTCCGAATAGAAAAGAAAGATCATTCAATTGTTTCGTGTCGTCGTACTTATAACTATAAAAACTTTCTCCAATATTTGCTAGTTAACAACTTTCCATTTATGTTCCAGATAACAAAACGGACAAAAGTTACATATTTAATGTCACACAGCTCGGCGTAGTTTGCCGCGCCGCGTATTTGCTAACAACAGAAGTACCTCGTTAGCTTTATGTAAGAACCTGTTGCTGTATTCTTGAACTTGTGTTTGAAAGTTGATCTTGGCTTACATTTACATATTATTAGAATAAAGTATTAAAAACGTGATATGTATATACGATTTGTTTTTATTTTCACCAATAAATAAATGAGAGCAGAGGAAAATTTTAGTTTTTTATATACATTTTACTTATAATATAGAAGGCAGGGGCGTAATATAGAACCACATTTTGTTAAATGAGTATAAAATTAAAACTTTACTTAAAAAGGGGTTACAGAGATATGTTTACAAGAAAACATTTTCACAAATCTCAAAAGATGTTTGTGATGCAATTATTTTTTATGTTTCTTACCTAAGAACTTAATATGTGGTCTGATTTTGAAAAATATTTTTTCATTTGGAAAGTTTGATATACTTTCCGTTTCCCATACAAATTTGAAAGAAAATTAGTCTATATCCTCAATGAATAGGAATTTTCTGAATAGGAATTAAACCACTGGAGGCAGAATAACTGACCACTAGACTAACGGATCTGCCATGCTTGTAAAACATCACCCGCGAACTCCTAGTCCAGGAGTCCACTCAAAAAAATCTTGATCTATAAAAACATCAATTTTTTTTTGATACACTTTCTTTCGTCCGTCCGTCCGTCGTGGTGACGGATTAAGAATACGGCATGTCACCACCTCTATTCACCCCGTGGGTGTCGTAAGAGCCGACTAAGGGAGCAAACTACGCAGGACAACTGCACAGCAAAGAGAAGGAAAACTTGAAACAAACCCTGTGTCAACCCGTCTAGCCAGCGTGGTATAGTATGTCAAAACCTCCTTTCTAAGGAGAGGCCTATGTTCAGCAGTGGACTGTTAAAGGCTGGTGATGATGATGATGATGGATTACAATTTCTTTATCCAATAATTAAATTAGAATTTATAAAAAAGGAGGAACATTTATTACATGTTTGGTACTTCAGAAGATTTGGTAAGTTATATTTTGTAACGGAGGTTATATTTTTCATTTAGTCTCATTCGAATTTGAAGAAACAAAACCACTCGTACAGGTGAAAAATTGAGGAGGGAAGTATAAGTTCAGTTCAGTACAGTGCATCATTATGTAGGTGCATTGGTAAATATATTAGATTCTTTTTTTTATATATATACTTATCTACCACATTCACACAACGCCATCTAGTCCCGAACTAAATAGAGCTTGTACTATGGGTATAAGATAACTGATATAAATACATTTATACTTTTTTTCTGTAAATACATACGTATTATACATAGAAACACCCAGACTAAATCAAACATTAAATGTTCATGCACACAAATGTTTGACTTAAGCGGGAATTGAACCCGCGAACTTTGGAAGAGCAGTCCGTTACACAAACCACTACGCCATCCGGTCGTTATGAACTCAGGCTGTATATATTAGGAAGAAAATGATAGTAAACAGTAAAAATAATTATATAGTGATGTGCTGTCAAACGATTTGTTGTATTATTTTGCAAGTAACAAACAGCAAACACAGAAATACATACTATGTCAAATCTCGAATCAACAGATTTGAGGTCAATTCGAAAGTAAACAGCTGGTGTGGGCACAATAGAAAGAGATAGTGCATTATATCTTTAAATATCTAGTTAATTAATTGTAAAAAACTACGTTACTCTCGTCAGTCTTGCCTACTATAATACTTAACAAAATTTGAATGAGCGCAATGTGTAACATTTGAAAAGGTTTCAGGAGGTTGCTTTTAGCAGTATAGCAGCAGTAACCCTGCTTCTAACAGCAATATGTCACACCATGTGGTTTAAGTCAGTTCCCCACCGTGAAATTTTTGTGTTTTGTTTTGTCTAAGTGTATTTATTAATATAATTATATTTATAATTAATTTTTTTACTTACTTATAATAAATAAAATTTAGCTCTAACAAAATTTCTCTATCACTAGTGCGTGCGCACTTAAATAAATTTTACAGTTAATCTAATCACTTTTATTTGTTACTTTTAAATTTAATCGCATTTCATTTTACTTTTTTTTCAGGATTAATTATTAAAATGTTTTTATTAATTAACTCTTAAAAAAGAATCACCTATTTTTACGTTGGTCTACAAACTTGTGATTAAGAATTCAGAGCGTCCGACCAACTGAGCCAACTAAGAGAGCTAACTCTTCAGGACAAAAGACAGCACTGAAAAGAGAAGGAAAACGACCCATCTGGCCAGCGTGGTACAGCAGGTCAAAACCTCCTTTTTAAGGAGAGGCCTTTGTCCAGCAGTGGACTATTAAAGGCTATTGATTGATTGATGATCTACTTCAAAGTATTCTAATTAAACTGCATTCCTTATTCCTTAATGTTCTACCTCTAAGAGTGGTATTTTATCTTCAAATTTAAATGGAAAGTATATACTTTGTGTACAAACAAAAAAGAATTCTCGAAATCGGTTCATGAATGACGTAGTTCTGGGTTAACAAACATAAAAAAACTAATTGAGAACTTTTTCTTTTTTTAATCAGTAAAAAAGTAATTGAATTAACGTTCTCCGATAAATCTAGTTTCGGTAGATAATGCAATTTAACAAGCTACTAGGTCAACGTGCAATGTAAGTATCTATTTTGTAGAAGTATTTGGCAGAAGTACCGTTAGTATCACTTATTTGTACATATTGAAAATCGAAGTAAGCAGGTCACAATCACTTCCTCACCTAAGATTTCTTTCGATAAAAGAAAATACTCTCTCGGGATACAAGAATAAGGATTATTATTGCGTGCATACAAACTTATAAAACATAATGTACTTTTTTTGAACAGTCACCATTTTATCAACTTAGTCAACGTTTTCGACTAAGTTGATAAAATGGTGACTGTTCAAAAACTTTTTTTATGTTTTTTATTCGTGAATGTTTATTGACTCGTAACATTCTTGAATTCTAAGTGATGGAATAGTAAAGATGAATGGCATGGCATGGGATGGCAATACCCGTTAAAGTGCTTAAATGTAGGTGCTCACATCCGCGTCCATTGTCATAAATATTTTTTATGACTACATCTAATCGTTTGCTTCTCTTCTAA